GCCCGCAAGTTTTTCTTTTTTTTTTTTTTTTTTCTTTTTTTTTTTTTGGCAAGGGTAAATTTTTCTTTTCCATGGACGAAGATATATTTATATTAGGAACTAAAAACCAAACCCCCCCCCCCCCCCCCCCCGATACAAATAAATATAGAAACAGCTTGCAAGCCAAAAAAAAAATGATTTTTATAAAACATGAATAGGTCATTTGATAAGAGCACAAAACAAAAGGCAAACGAATTACTTTTTTTTATTAAAACTATTTGAATAGATATAAATAATAATAATAAAAAGAAAAAGAATAACTATTTCGAATGTAAATCTTGATTGATTAATTATTGATCATTTGAAGATAATACATTTGGTATTTCTAAAATACTTCCTAAACCTGTATTAATATGTTCTTTAAGCGGACCTGAATAATAAATAGTACCGATTCCACTTAATGTTATATTTATTTCATCAATAGCTGTTATATAAATATTTCCAATTCCACTTGATATAACATGTATCTTTTTGTTAACAAATTTCGACATTCAACATCACCAACGCCTAAAGATTTTAATATAGCTTCATCATTAACCTGTCTACATAATTTAATATAATCTATTGAATGTAAATAAGCATCAAGTTTATTGACATTTAATTTTAATTTTATTGAACTACTACCACGATTATGCAAACGAAATATATTTGTTTGTATTTAATTTATATATTGAACATTAATCATACCATCAATATNTTTCAGAAGCTATTGCAAAGGAGTACAACTTCTCAAGATAAGATCAGATAGGAGACGACTTTTTACAGTCAGTATTGCAGCCAGATTTAAAAAAAATTTCGGTTGGAGTTGAAATGGAGTTGGAGTTGGAGTTGGATTGGAGTGGCGAAAATAGCCGAGGAGTCGGATTTGGAGTTGGAGTGGGTTTTTAGAAAAATGGAGTGGAGTTGGTCGGAGTTGGAGTTGCACATAGCCGGAGTTGCCCATCTCTGGCTAATACAGCAACCAAAGAACTGATCACTGCGACGTTGTACTAATAAAAGACAACAACTACTGATTTATTACTTAACGTACAGCTCATATCCACTGAAGTATGTCGTACTTATATGAAAAGTACTATAGATAGTTTACAATCCACTAAAAGTTCTATTTTTCATCAAAAAAAAATATATAAATAATTTTTTCGCATAAACAATGTCTAGTTGGCCAACATTGTAAAGCATTTTTGGACACCATTAGACGTTTTTTTTTCAACTTCTTTTTTTTATCATTTTGTAGAGGAGAAAAAGTTGTACAACATATGTGAAATTCAGTCTGGTATCTTTTAAAATGACTGAATGGCAGCTGATGTACTGCAAAAAATTGACTAACTTTTCACTGGAAAAATGGTCAGTCACGGGCAGTATTTCCTAAATAACTATCGATCTGTTCATGGAAATATAATATGTAAATAGGTAATTTTGTTCAGCTTTCAATGCTTTATATTTTGGTATATTACATAAAGAATTTCATTAATTTTTCGTTATCGAAAAAATCTCATCTTTATATGGACGATTTTTGACGATATTTTTCAAATGACCTCATGAGTACCCGACAGTAAAATTGAGCTAGCTTTTCATAGGCTCAACTAAATGCGCTTAAAATTTGGATTTAGAGGTTTTAGATGATGCTGAACAATATGAGAACATTAAATCAAAAATTTTAAATTAATCGAGTGCTTCGATTTTTTGATGGGCTCATGGGTGCTCTCTTAAACAAGTATGAAACTCATCACTCTACTTTTTACAATATAGAAATAGGCTTTTTTCGCTAAATTTGACATTTCGAGTAATTTGTAAGTTCTACAATCTCATAAACGATGATTCCAGTTTGCGGATGTGCTTTGCACTGAGTTTTCACCATGACCTTAACCCATGTGCCATTTAGTGTAATAGAGTAGCTAATTATCTATAAAATGAGGTATTGCAGAGCTAAAAGAAATCGATTTTTCTTAATCTGTTTTTGACAGTGTAATAGTTTTTAGATACTTTTCTGCGAGATGTAAAAAAGAAACCTAAATACGACTTATGATACGACAAACACTACTTTATTAAAATTGAAAAATTAAAAAATATTTCATATATTGATTTGAATAAGTTACAATCGATCAATGTATTTATTTTATGTACTAACTAATCACAGAATGATTGTTGAAAACAAGATTAGATATTTAAATTATAATGTGTTTTTTCCATGCCATCACACCACGCATGTTGATTTTTCTTGCGAAGGGTCATTATTTCGTTGATAATTGATAAATTATTATACCAAGCAGTAAAGCTATTTACTCATGTCGGGGCGAGACTTAAAGGTATTCGATTAAGAAGTGACTAAGTGGAGAACGCAAGCAACTATTTTCAACCCAATAGTTTTCGAAAAGCATTCCAAAAGAATGTATGAAAGTGATCGATTATTCCAATGAAGTTTTCATAAAAAGGAAGAAAATTTACTTCAAAATCAGCAAAATTCCATGCTGCTTGATCAAACAGATACACAATTTTATTTTGCTCAGCAATATGATGTGAGAAAGTAATCATTCAAGTTCTTGAGAGCTTTACATGTGTATATTTAATCATTGAGAATAAGAAATATAGGTGAAAAAAAACTCTGCATTATATTTATTTATATTTGAGAAAAAAAAAATGAAGGAAAGAAAAGAAAAAACAATGACTAGAATAAAACATGAAAGTTGTGTTTAAATAATAATAAGTTTTTATATTGTTGTTTCACTTGATTTTGATCGATAAAGTTCCCAAAGAATTTTACCAACCGGTACATCATGTGTTATACTTGGAAATAAAATACGTTGTACACTATTAGCTGATATCTGATTCATCATTTGAATTATACCAATAAGTTGACTAAATTTTATTGAATATGTTGTTGTTGAATGAGACATTAAACTTGTACGTAATACAAAAAGAACATGTTCTTGACAAGCATCAATATGACTTTGATTAATTAATAGTTTAGCTATAAATATAAGAAAATTCTTATTGGTCTATCTTTACTTTTATTTTAAAGTTACCTGAAGATTGATAAAGTGAAAGAGTTTTAATGTAAGTATATTCATAAGCATCTAATGCAAGTGATCGTAATTTATAAATACAATCACATATACGTTGGATTTCTATTTGATCTGTTTGTGTAAGTGTACTGTTTGTTAATTGAATAGCCATTATAGGTACCATCCATTGACTTAAATTAACTATAAGAAGATAATGCCAATTATCTTCAAGAAGAGAACGCTAAAATAACATAAAAAAAAGAAAAACTAAATTATATCGATTATTATCGTTGAATAATATACTTGATCATCATTAGGAAGAATTTTAAATGAAGGTACTGTTTCTAACCAATTTGTCATAGTAAATAAAAGACGTGCTGCTGCTTCGTATAATGTTATCTATTCAAATAAAGAAAATGATAAATCAATAAATAAAATTAATTTTGTTTTAATTACTTGATTAATGATTGTTGGGAACGGATTATAATTGTCAATTGTTGGTAAACAAGATAGTTGCTGTAATTGTGTTGGAAGAAGTTTAGGCTTTCGATTGAAATGATTCGATATTGATGTAGTTGAAACATTTGCTATTGTTGGAGATGATGAACAAGCAACAGGTGGTGCTGTTGATCCAGTTGAAGTCGGTAAAATCATATTAGAAACACTGAGAATTTTCTGTTTTGCTTTACGTGGTCCACGTTCATGTTGTACCGCTATAGAAACAAAAGTTTGAATTTTTTGTCGAGTAACAGTATCCGATATATAATTACCATCTTTATTCATATTGACCAAGAAGCATCGAGCTAATCGACAAGATCGACATTGATTTCGATGAGTCTTATCAACAGGACATTTATCTTTCAATTCACCTTGAGCTTTACACACATAATGACGATGTCGATGAATACTTCGTTTGAAAAATCCCGAACAACCTAAACGAATAAAACCGATAAAAAATATTCTATGATCAAAGACGATAATAGTAACTAGACAATTTCGAATATTATTCACTCATGAACATCAGAAAATTTTGAATTAGACATTATATAAGTAAAAATGAATATTTATGTTCAATGAAACGATATATGATTGGTTATCTTACTTAGTTAACTGATTGTAGTGCATTTTAGACATGCAATTATTTCGTCAACGCGTAAAACGATTGTTGATTAGCACAATAAACTTTTGCTATCTTGTAATATTGCACAAAAAATAAAGTGTCTCTGAGATTAAATCTTTCGCATACGGATGAAGTAAGACTAAGAATTATTTTACAATCGTTGTATCTTCAAGTTTTATAAACTATATTTGTAGTATCCTATCCGAAATAGTTTTCGACCTTTGATGGAGTTTAAAAAATACGTTTCGTGACTTTAATCGTTTCTCTTTTCCAAAATCATAGATGCGCGACTGAAAAGATTAATTATTGATTCATTATTATAATTATTCGACTGCAAAATAAAAATAAAATTTATAAAATTACCATCACAACTGTAGATACCATAATGTTTCCCAGATGATCGATCACCACATACAGCACATAAAACATTCAACAAACGTTCACCTATGAAAATTAAGAAACCATTTTAGTTCTTTTCAATAAGATCAATTAACAAGTTGAAAATCAATAATTGACTTTTTATTAATTTTTTCAAAGTCTCAATACATTAAATCTTACCTGGCATAATCGTTTAGAATATACAGATATACTTCTTTTTTTTGTCTTTTGTAGTTATAAACAAAAAAGAAAATACGTCGATAGCCTCCAGAAAAAATTACTTTTAAACACTTGACTAGAGAGATTGAGACTAGATCGAATGGATGTGTGCGTGTCTCACTAGCTTTTCCGTTTCAAATGATCTTCTGCTTCTTCTTATCACTACTTTCTTTTTCTCCTTTTTTTTCTTTTTTTATGCGTTTACTCTCTCCGTCTCTTTTGTCTTCTCTCCTTTCTAGTAACAATTTAGTAAGCGTGAGAACAAAAAATAACTATCTCTTCCATTTACATCGTTTCTTTCTATTTTAGATTTTTTAACCATCAAATATAGTTAGAGAAAATACATTTTCATTTAGGTTTTTTTCCATTGATCATTCGCTAACATATGTTTTTCTTTTTCTTTTTTGCTCATAGAATATTATCAAAGAGATTAGACACTTTATGACGATTTGTTATCTTTTTGATAGATGTAGACACGCACGGCACATTAGGAAAACAACTAATTCTCGAATTTCTTTTTTATTCTATGAAAGCATCACGGCAATGTTATTCCAGGTAAATTATTTATTATTCATCTAGTACGAAAGAAAAATGTGAACAGTCCGAGAGAATAGCCTGATAATTGAAGATCTATTTGCTGCAATGAGTTTGTTTCTCTCATCATCATATATATATATGCATCTAACTGTTTAGTCATTCGAGCGATTCTATTTGAAACAATAATGTTGAGTTTGTGACATACACTTCGTTTTTTTTTTTTGAAGTCGTTTCATATTACATTGCAAACACGCATTGATATTAATGAATAAATAATAAGAAAAATGTTCAGTTGGTTACTTTTTTTCTTCTCTGTCGCTCATTTTTTTTCACTTGTCATCGTTAACATAATGTGCGTATATATTTGCCATTCCTCGTTCCATGATTTGTTAGAAAGGCAAGACACTTTTTGACTCAAACCAATGAGGAATAAGAAAAAAAGCAAAAAGGATAAAAAAGACGAAGAAAAAAACTAGACAGTCTAGTTACTCAACCAGAAGTAAAGCCTCAAGGCAATGCAAAGTGAAAAACATTGTTTCTACATTTCCACACGGATGGTCATTGACAATGACTTGAAGAGTATAAAAAAAAGAGAATGTGTGTCTTTTTGACATGATCTATACGCGACAGCCATTACTTATTCTCAGTTTCAAATATAAGAGAAAAAAAAAATACTCAAATAACTGCAGGCAATACAAGTGAATTTTTTCTCAGAAAACTTAAAATGACAGTGATAAGTGACTAAAATCGTACTTTAATAGAAAGAAGAAAAAAAGTACTCATAACCAATTACTTCTCTTATATCACTAAAACGAAAAATTGAATTATGTTCCAAAAAAGAAAAGAAAAACAATAATTCTTGATGTCACTATAAACAATCGGAAGCAAAACAAACATCAATTAATGAATTATAGACAAACAAATTCCAGTTCTTTGTAAATAACTTTATGAATTTCCAGACCAAGTCTTTTATTCATCAATTGTTATTTCTGTTAAAAGTTCAAATTGTTTTTCAACCAATGAATAAATTTAAGAATTTTTTTCTATATAAAGTCCTATGAGGTAGTGTCCTGCAATTATTGAGATGTCGAAATTTCAAAATATGTTTACTTTTTTAAGCTGCTAATTTATATAAAAGTATATTGTGGCAGACAAAAGTTTAGAGCAGCTATGTTTTTAAATTTTCTTTTTGATGGTAATAGCTAGCAAGAATACGAAAAAACACATTTGTGTAGCTGAGAGAATTTTCTATTAATTTGATAGAGTAAATGATTCTGAGCAACATGAGACATCTCTGACTTTTCCATGATCTTCCTTCCTTCATCGAATTGCATTCAATTTATAGAAGACCCAAGTAGCCTATTTCTTTTCTATTTATTGAAAATTTCAATGTTTTCCCCATATTTGGCACTTTGGGCCTTCTGTAAATCGAATGTAGTTCGATGAAGGACGGTGATAGAGAGATCGAAAACGTATCATTTTACTCAGAATTACTTGCTCTATCAAAAAAAAAAATTTCTAAAAAAACTTTGAATGAAAGTTAAAATCTTTTTTAGTTGCACAAATGTCTTTTTCATAATCTTGCTTGCAATTATCTAATGAAAACTTGTCTACAGACGATGATTAACCATATGACAAAGTATCTGAATACATGGACAGAAACATGAATTATTGACAAGGTAAATATGTATTATCAAGATAAAAAAAAACATTCTTGTATATATCTACAGTTATGATATTTGCCAATAACACTGCGTTCCATTCCAGTATTACCAAACAACAAGTGAATTGCTTTTTTTTTGTTGCTGCTCATGGAAGAAACTAAATAGTATATTTTTGCATATAAAATCCAAGTTTGAAAACCGTACTATGACACTATGAAAGTATATGCCTGGTATCGATTAACTGGGGTCCAGATCCGATTGCAAAAGATCATACTCGTGTAAAACACTAAAATAATGACTTAAATATGTTTGTGATATCAATTGGTCATATCAAATTTGTAAAAAAAATAATGTAGCCATGCATGTATGTCAAACAGATTTGTATGGAAACCATCTATTTTTTTATATATCTACGCACATAATTATCCTAACTCAACTGTTGTATTAGACGCTGTCTATCAGAAATAACTTTTAATATTATCAAAAAAGTGATTTTGCTAAACCATTTCGACTTTGCCATCTGTTCTAACCATTTTGGTACGATTTATTATAAGATAGGCTAGAATCCGAATCTGAGCTACAATATGTTTAAAATTATGGGATTTTTCTATATCTATCTGTTTTTTCTAGATATCACATTAATTATTCAAGATAATGATCTACTGATGAGATAAATTGATTTAGTTTTTATATTTTTATTCAAATGGATGTAAATGGCTACCGATCACAGAAAAAGAAAGAAAGAAAAATAAAACGAAAAAAAGTGTTTAAAATCGACATCGATAAAAATCGACTTAGTAGATCGGTATATTTGATTGATTGATTTATTCATTCATTCGTTCCAAAATTAGATTCTCGATGAAAATCATCATCAGGTCGAACTAAACTTGAGGGAGTTGTCGATATTAAAGATGAAATACTTGTTGTTTTTTTCTTGTTCTCTACAAATAGATAAGTAAAATAATGAATATCAACTAAAAAGTATCGTTTTCACAAAAAAAAAACGTTTCTTTTTACTTTGTTGATCACGACTTGGTTGTCGTCGTTGTCGATTATTATTATTATTATTCTTGCCACGTATTGTATTTTTTTTCTTGTCATTTAAACGACCCGTAATGCATTTCGTCTTTTTCTTTCGTGCATCGACAGATAACAAATTCTTCTTTGTTCTACTAGTTCCTCGTGATGCATTTGTTGAACGTTCATGTCGAACTGCACTATTGTTTAGTGCATGAACATTTCGGATTGACGATCGACTCTTGTTATTATTACTCAATAGACTTCGTTTATGATTATTAGTATTCAAACGACTACGTGTTGTTGAAATAGCACGAACAGACGAACGAGTACGATTACGTGCATTCGTCTGTTTGTTGTTCGTGTTACTATTGCGAGTTGTTGATGATCGTTTTTGAATTCTATCAATTATTCATAAAATAAATATGATCATAGAAAATTGGAATATTTACGATGTACGACCAACATTTTTTGCTTTGGTTATTCGACCACGACTTTGCTGTGTACTGTTTTGGTTGTTACTGGTTGATCGAGCCATTTTTTTCCAATACAATGATAGAAGATAATAGTTTTTGTTTATGATAGATTAGAGGAAAAACAGAAGATATTTGATGGTAAAATTTGGGATTAAAATGAGAATGAATGTTTGATATATACACAGAGAGAGTCAGAGAGAATGTGTGAGTGAATTAGTATCGAGGCAACTGTGATGAATTAGTAAATAAAGCGCTTAAATTAGCTTTGAATGAAAAAAAAAAAAGAATTATAAACGCGCTCTACATCATTATCATTCGAATATAATTAATTTGTTTTTCTTTTCTAAGATATAGTACTAGTCAAAAACATAAGATCAACATTTTCTTTTACTTTTTTTCTACGATACTAAGTATTTAACTCAAATCTAAATAGTGGTTTGAATAGCTAATAAAGTACTCTATCAAATACATTTCATCCTGAAACTTCGTAGATGGACTATGAGAGAAAGGTTTCAGATTCTAGAAGACTTTGTAGAAAATAGATTTTGAAAGAACTGTCTTAAACAGAACAAAGCTCTAAATTAAATGAGAGGCTGCCGCATTTTTTACGACCTTTTCTTCAACAGTCATAAACATCAGAAAATGTGGAAAAAAAGACATTTAATACAGCATTACTAAAAATCCATTTTTGTCTTTTTTGTGATGCTTGTAACTTTTTTAAGGAAGGCCACACGAAGTGCACCAAATTCTTATTTAATTTAGAATTTTATGTTCTTTAAGACAATTCATTTATAATCTATTTTCTATACAGTCTTCTGGGGACTTGAAACCTTCTCTCATAGGCCATCTATGAAGTTTCGGTGTGGAATGCATTTGATAAAGAATTTTATTACCTATTCAAACCACTATTTAGATTTGAGTTAAATGCTTGATAGCGAAGAAGAAAAAATGCTTTGATCTTATATTTCTTACCAGTATTATAGAATCAATTTAGTTTTGATTTTCATATGTAGCAAAATACAGATAAATAAACCTATCTACTTACTAATATCTGTATAGGGTGATCGAAAAATTCTTAGACAAGGTATTTGTTCATTTTTGCCTGCTAGAATGTATCGAAAACTGTATAAGTTATGCACAGTATTTTGTAATCTTTTCGTATGTGGGCTTAAAAATTTTGTTCGACGGTAGTGAAATAATCTTTCAAAAATCCAAAAAAATTAGCAAGAACAAAAAGATTTTGTATTTTCACTATTGTAATAGAAAAACTAAAAGTTGAGATCTCTATTTATATATTAGCCTACAGATCAGATCCTACCCTACAAAATGCACTATTTGAAGTTTTTCTTTTGTATTTCGACAAAGGCGCTCCAGTTTTGAAAAACTGACAACCATTTTACTCTGAAATAAGCTCTTAAAAGAATGCTTGCTGTCTCATTTGGGTAATAGATATAAGCTTAACTTAATATCATATTTTTTGTAGAGCAATATCCATCCTACAAAACAGCCGACTCTGACTATTTTTCGCATGTTCGAAAAGAAACTGACAAGGAAAACAAAATTCTGTTTGCTCACTATTAAAAATAATGTTTCAAGTATTTCAAAAAGTTTCTCACTACTCGTGAAAAACTTTTGTAAGTTCATATTCGAAAAGTGCACAAAACTCTAATCCTATTTTATAGCTTTTGATACATTCTAACAGATCAAAACTCAACAAAACTCTTGTAAAAAGTCTTTTCCATCACCAGTTAAAATTAAAAACTTATCTAAATAATAATTCTTGTAGTCAGAGAGTTTATAATTCATCATGTTTCCAATAGACAAATACAAAGAAGTTAGTTAAATGACAAAAATACAGGAACAAAGAATATATATATATAATCTTTCTTTTTTGGCATACACAAAAATTGCCTATCAAAAAAATCTTTTGTTTTTCCCATTCACTATGTTTTACAAATGAAACAAAAAAAAAGAACAGGAAATGAGTAAGCAATGACAAGCATGTATAATACACAAAATAGATTTACATGCAAAGTTTTTTCGTTTATTATTAAGATGATTATTGTTGTTCATCATCATTTTAATTATTATTATTATTATTATTGTTATTCGTTGTCGTAGCAACATTAAAGGAAAAAGCACCTGTCGTTTTTGACGGTGATGTTGCTGTATTATTTGTAACATTCTCCGGAGTAATTTTAAATTTTTTGCTATGATTATCATCATCATCATTTGTTTCTTCTGTTAAAACATGTTCAGGTGATAATGATCGTTTACGATTAACTGATGTAAACATTGTTGGCCATGGACTATGCTCAGTTGATTTTAATACAGTTGATTCCTGATTTTTTTCTATTGATGATTGTTGATTAAAATTAAATTTAACAATAATTGCTGTCATATTATCACAGCCAGTACCATCACCACTTGTATTTGGTGCAAGACAATGCATAAATAACTAAATAGTCATATATGTAATTCTTTCTTTTTTATCGCACACACCAGAGACCGTAACGGAGCTCTTTTTTCGGCTTTCTCTGTACTCAAAACAACACAAATCGCTCTCAGGGTATATAAACTGCAGTCGACTATGGAGAGGTTTGATAACCTAACGAAAAATTTTGATCGTGTTTATATTCAATGCTCATACCTTTTTTGTATCATTTCAAAATAATATTATCAATGTATAAAAATCAAATTATAATTGAGTAACAAAAAAAAGTGTCATTTTAATTTATTCTTGATGGAAAAATAATCCTTTTTAGTTCAATATCTTTCCTTTTTTTAGCATAGGTACATGACATCAGTAGCATATTCATGCAAAAGCAATATATCCGACAATGAAAACAGACTTTCTTTGTGATTGAGTATCATCATTTAATTGAATCGTAGTCTTTCGTCAACATTTAGCAGTAGATCGACATTCATATTTTTTTTTAATTATTTGCTAGACGTGCTTATAGAATTTCAAAAAACTGTACTAAGTCTCCACAAAAGCGAAATAGTTCACATTGAATAACGATGAATTAGAATAAATATCATATACATAAGTTCGAATGAAATCCGTTGAATACATGAAGCCATCACTAGCTGATGGAATTATATCGATGGTACATTTAGTAAACGATTTCAGATGATTTTTTTAATGAAAAAATGTTAGCAGGACAAACTATTTTGCTCTCTCTCCTGATGACGGTTTCTGATACACACAGTAAAGTTTATACTTACTTCTTCACATATTTGTGATAAAGTTCTTTTTTCAAGACGTGCACGTACAAAATCAACAACATCTTGACTTGACATAAAATTCCATATACCATCGCATGCAATTACCATAAATTCATCTTGATCTTCAAGTGTTAATGTACGTATATCTGGTAAAGCAGTTATAGCTTGTTCTTCAGGCGGTAATTTAGGAGTTTTTTTATATGCATGATCACCAATAGCTCGAGATAGATTAAGACCACCTATAAATTTTATTTTTTTTTGTAAATTTCTTATTCTTAACGGAGTTAACTATAAAGAAAAAACAAACCTGAAACACGTCCATCTAATGTTACTTTATAACCAGCTTTTTCTATTCGAGCACGTTCTTGAAGATCTTCTGGTTTATGATCTATATAAAGATAATTATTAATTAATAATAAAAGAGATTAAACATACTAACCAATACTCATTTCAATCGCTCGACCATTACGACATACGACACATCGAGAATCACCGGCATTAGCAACAAATAATTGTTTATCACGAAGAAGGGTAACAACAGCCGTACATCCACTTGATGAACCTGGATCACTACTCATGTCAAGCATTTTTCCTAAATCTGTATCATTTTCATCATCTAGAAAAAAAGATTTATTTTATTTTAAATAGTTAAATTATTTATTTACCAATATCTTGTTCTTCTTCTTCTTCTTCTTCTTCTTGTTCATTATCATCAGCATTTTCTCCTTCTTGTTCTTCATTCTATGAAAAATAAATTAAATATTAAACATGAAAATAAATAAATAAATACTTGATTTTCTTTGGCATCATCTTCACTATCATCATTATGTTTTCTTTTCTTTGCATGTCGATTTAAAATAGCCATTATTGATTTTTTCATACTATTAAAAAAGGATAGAGGAAGAAAAAAAGTAATTATTAGAAAATCAAAATTTTTATTTACTTACAGTTTTTTAATTTCTACTGCTTTACTTGATTCTAATTCTTTGTCTTCTTCTTCTTCCTCTGTTTCTTCTTCTTCTCCTTCTTCTTCTTGATTTTCTTCATCACCAGCATTCTCGTCATCGTCATCATTATCTTCAGCTTCGTCACCGCTTGTCTCATCTTCTGATCTATGATTAAATAGATTTGTATAAGAAATAGATATATGCGTAAAATCATCGAAAACGGCACATAATCATCTTCGATTTGAATTTTATGCTTTTTTGTTTTTGAATGAGCTCTTTTCTCATGAACATTTGTAAACATATTAGCTCTTTCAATTCATATCTTATTTAACTCAATTAGTTAATTAATTAGAGTGTCATGAGTGAATGATTCTAACATAATCATGGATAAATTCAAGAATCTTAGAATAGCACAGATCAAATTTAACTGAGTTTTAGACTTGTCTATAGAGTTTTTCACAGGATACAAATCCTTGCATAATTTATCAGAAGACAAAGCTGTGAACATATTTGAATAGACAAAAGTCGACATTTTTCGGTCGATATTAAGCGATATCGATTGTAATAATTTTCTTTTCAATGAAAACCGATAGAATATTTGGAATGAAGAGACAAAATAACATCGATCGACGTCTATTTTCAACTTTTCTAACGGTTTGTATTTTCTATGAAAATCGGAGGCGTGGTATTTTCAGAATTAGATCGATGCTATTTTGTCTGCTAATTTCGAATATGCTATCAGTTGTGTTTGAAAAGATGATTATTAGGATTGATATCGTTGAACACTGGCCGAAAAATGGCGTTTTTATCTATACGAACAAAACTATCTTGCCTCCAAACATGGTCGCAGCTGTTTTTCCTTACAAATTATACATCGATTTATATTTCATGAAAAATTCTATCGATAGGTATGAAATTCAGAGTGGATAAACTCTAATTCAGTACATTTGACGGTTTTTACGCGATATTGACACCAAAGCTTAACGATATTTCAAACAGTCTTTCTATAGCTGTCCTATGTAGAACGTCGAAAGTTGAATCTGTAATGAAGTCTATGATCTGTAAACATTTACTAATATCATTAGAAATTCAATTGAGGCGATTTGCTTATAAATCGTCAATTCTACCCTTTTTCGAAATATGCCAAACCTACTCTTCATATTCGAAATCATCTTCATCTTCCTCATCATCTTCTAATTCATCAATGTTATCACTAAGTAAATGATGTGTTAATGATTTAGATTTGACTGTTGCTGATAATGGTGTTGTTGTATCATTTGAGACTGGTTTTCGAGAACGTTTTGATGTTGTTTTTGATTCAGATGATGAAGGTTTAACTTCCTAATCAACAATAAATCATCGATAATAATACTATTAAATAAAGCAAAAAAACTATACAGTTATATCTGAAACTTCACCATTTGATGTTGTTTCAGCAATTTTATGGTCTAAAACATCATCGATTGGAATATTTTCTTCATCAGCATGTGTAATTACATCAGATTTAATTTGATCTATATCAACTGATAATGATGATGATGTAACATTGTCTTCATTTGTTGTTTCACAATTTCGACTAAAATTCAATAAAAAAAAACCCTAGCTTTTATTTTCAGTGTAAAAAGAAAGAATCCTACAGTTCTTTTAATTTTTCCAAATTTTTAATTTTTTCATCATCCTCATCATTTTTTAACGGATTTTGTATTTTACTTTTAGAAATTAGAGGTGATGGAAAATGTTTCCCATCGTTACCATAACGTTTAAGAATTTCAGCAATAGGTAATTCAGCTTCTTTTTTTAATAATTGTGCTTCTTCAACATTTAATTCTTCATTAGGATTATTTTCTTCATTTGTATTTGTTGACAATGCAATATCATCCGTAGTTTGATCATCTATTTGCTCATCATTGTCATTTTTATCTTTTGAATCAGCTAATACTTGTAAAATTTCTTTAACATTTGTGTCAAGTAATAAAGAATCAAATTTAAGAAAACCTTCAATTAATGCATCATTTAATCGTCCTTCACAATATGAATCAAGTTGTTTAAGGAAATCCGGAAAATGACGAGAACAATAAAGAGCTATTTCAGCTCCACCATGGCCATCATAAACAGCAAAAAATGATGTTTTATTATCAAAATCAAGTATAGCATTATGTGCATCCTAAATATCAAAAACAAGGATAGGCAAAAAACTAAATATGAAAATAAATATACTTCTTGTGACATTCGCCATCCTTGCATTGAGCTTGCAGCAAAAGCTAAATGATTATTTGACCCTTCAATTGTATCTTTGTCACATATAGGCGATGAAAGATAGGCACCCATCTAGTAAATATTATTTTTTTGAATTAATTTTACAATTATTTTCTCAAATTATATGACTGTAGTTTCAAAAAATACAATAAAATACTTTGAAAAAAAAAGACGAGAAGTGATTATTCGATGTTGCCAAATTTTCTACCAATTATTTTATGTTCTTGAAACCTTTATTTTGGATTTCGAGATTTTGTCATAGATTATAAATGACGATAGAGGGCGCTTAGAAACGAGCAAACACTTTATTTAAAAAAGTCGTATGAGAGAATTTAGACGACACCGATGACTGATCGATAAGAAAAATATTAAAGATATATTTTGGATTAGAAATAATGAAGTAAACTTGAAAACTTGTATTCTAATTAACTTTTTTATTCATCAAAATTTATGCATTTCTGTTCATTGTATTATAGACAGTGGAACGTTTTGATTCAAGGATAGGCTCAACCTTTTGTTTTTTGTAAGATCCACATCTGGAAACTAAAAATGTGAGAAGATGAGTTTTTGTATGCTATGTTAATGAAATACAGTTAGCGCTTCATTGTTTGCAGTATGTAATGGTAGTGCAAGTCAGAAAAAAAGTTATAAATGTTTATGTTCATAAAATGTAATCTTTGAAAGACGAGTTTCTAGTCTGTTTTACTAAAAACAATATTTAATTTTGAAGTAGAAAGGTTCACACACACAAAAAGCCACTATTGCACTTGGAATTTGTTTACTGTTGAAAATGATTAATAAGTATGTAATCTTAGCCGTCGAAGGCGAATGAAAATTTTGATAGATTCTAGTTTATTTGGCTAAGATTTTCTGTATAATTTTTCTTCATTTGTAATAAAGGATGCTCACTTCAAGTTTTTGCCGTTGTATAATGTCATATTTACTTATACAAAACTCAATCTTTCCTCAATAACATTTTCTAAGTCTATTTGACGAAGAAAATGTTATTATTACTTGTTGAAAGCAACAAAAAATATTGACGTTTGTTCAAGAAATGTAATGTGCTTCTCAAGTCTATCAATTTAATCGAAAGAGAAAAAAAAACATTCGTGCCGTCCCTCTAGCTTACGAAGCGTGAATCTAGAATATGTTTGAGCCTAGCTAAGTCCCATGACTCCGCTGCCGATGAATTGTATGTTTTTATTTAATAGGCTTTATAAAGTACTATACTATTCAAATGAAGAGAATATTTCATTTAGTAGAAAAAAAAAACAAAAGAAACGATGTTTCAATATGTTGATCATAAAACAAGCTAATTTAAATTAGAAAACGGTCAAACATTTGTACTTGTCAGTAAATTTTGTGTCTCAGAATAATTGTTTTCTAGGTCATACTAATAAATCACCTTATTGTTTATAAACTCTTCCATTCCGTGAATTTTCAAGTATTCTCTAACAAAAGTTTTTTCATATTACATACAGAAATTATTTCGAAAAAAAAAATAAAATTTATGCCGATGAAATGTTTGCAGTGTACGCTTCGACTCTCTGTTTTGTATCAGCTTTTATTGAACAAAAAAATGTAAAATACATAAAAAGTTGCATTGATGTTGAATGAATAAACTTCAAAAGCCGAGTTTCTTTTCTTATATGGCGATTAGATGAATAATAATATTGAGTGTATCCATAGTAACAGATAATTCTTTTAACAATTTACAATCAAATAGTTGTTTGTTAATGTTAATAATATTAGTAGAACAAAGAAAGACGAAAACACAATGAAGAAGTGCGTTGGATTTACTCTAACAAAATCTCATCACTTGATAATAGAAATTAATTTCAAGATCATTTGAAAATAGTAAGAAGTTGAATAACATTATATCTTTCACATGCTCAAATATGAACCATATTGAAGTTTGAAATATGACCCATTTTTAATGTTTCGTATTGTCGAATTGAATATATTGTGTTTTGAAGTCAACGATCATGTATAAAGTTATAATCTCTTACTATCAAACATTTATGTTGAAACTTTGGTGTTTTTTGTTCTTTTCAATTTTTTATATGCAATGAAAGATACTTATTATGTATTTTGGCTTTGGTCATATAGAAGTCACAACTGGCTATAATGAGTCTCATGTTTAAAAGACTACAGTTATTCACAAATTGAAGTGATGACTTTTGTTTTAATATCACTGCTATATATTTCCTGCATTTGTCTTTAGTAGTTATCGTTTGTCAATAACGATTAAGTTAAGTATTTTTATTCGTGTAGTTATAAAGGAAATGGATATTGATTCACAAAGTAAATGGTTCCTAGCGATAGCGTTCAGCATGACGACTATCTGATTAGATGATAAGAAAAAGAAATATATTTACTCATAGATGTTGTGAACAGCTTATAAACAATGATTCATAGTCAAAGGAACCTGTGCATTATATTAAGAATGCCAACAATTACAGAAAAGTCGATACTTCTGAACTTGGTGATTTAAATGTTTGATAGATGCCAGAAATGTTACTTTTCTGGATAAATCCGTTGTTATTTCTGTGAAATATATATATTTGGAAAGCTTATGTGACAATTTTTTCTCAGACATATTTTTGCTAATCTTTTCATAAATTCAGTTCCATGATCTGCTAGTAATATTATACGATTATATAAACCTCTCGTCGCAATAGAAGCCCTGGGGCTTCTCATACGTGAGCATTCTATTTTGGAGAATGATGTAGCATATCTCCTATAGCAAATATTTAAATACGATGGTAAAATAATAATAATTCGTTTCAGGAGAAATGATTAAACAAACCATTCGTCAACCTAATTTTGAAATTAAAGGACTACAGTGAGTTTACAACATTTATCATTACTACTAATCTTCTATTGGTTTTCGAATAATTGAAAAAACAATCATACAAATAATTCTTCTTGTTTTTTTCGAAAAGATAATATCAATAAAAAACAACTGCGTTCTGGACTTTTATTTGATTCGTATAGTTTTTCTTTGTTTAAAGATAATATTATACATATAAGAAGAAAAAAAACTTCTTTTCTTTTTTTTGTTATTTTTGACGACATGACGACAGGATAGAAATATATATATATATATGAGAAAAAAAACAGAAGAATATTAAAAGGTATGATCAATGATCATTCATGCTGATAATTATAAACGATGGTATCATTAAACAAACATCAGTTGATTAGAAATCGTAAATATACATAAAAGAAAAAAAAAAGCTTTTTTTTTAGCATGTTGAACTTTTTTCTTTGGACTGTTCAGCATTTTGAATAGTTGGTATTGACTCAAAATCATTTAATTGTTGTTCATTATTATTATTATCATCATCATCATCATCCATTGATGAATCTGGTTCATCATCTTCATGATCAAATATATCATCAAGATTTGTAGCATCATTTGATGTTGGATTTGGATCAAGTGCAGCAGCATCATTCATTATTTCACGAGTACGTGCATCAATATGTGGATGTTTTGATATTGATGATGAACGTGATGAAGATGCATTATTATTCGTATTCTGTAATGATTCAAATCTTGTTTTTAATTTTTTTAAACGTTGTAATATTGATCCATATTCAAATAGACCACGACGATCACCAAATGGATCCTAAAATTTCAAGAAAGAAAAATAATTATGATATATTAAATAAAATTTTTACCATCATTTGTTGTCCATCTTTATTTAAGTTTTCTGTACATACTTCAACATAATAATCATAGAAATCAAAAAATTGTTTGATCATTACTTCTCTAAAAATAAAACCAGATTTGTTCATTTATTTTTTGTTTTTTATTAAAAAAAAAAAATTTTACCGTAATTGTTGTGGACATGAATTTTCATTTTCTAGCATTTCACATACAGCAACACGTAATGTTTCATGTTTTATTATTTCATTATAAGTTTTTGAATCACCTGATGTGCGTTCCTAAATTTGAATTAAACAAAAAAATTCTATTATAAAAATGTAACATTTAAAAAAAATTTTACATGTTCAAAACCGGGTTCATTATGATATGGTTTTTCAGACATTAGCGATTGAATAGAAATCAGTAATGATGATATACATTGAGCCGGAGACCATGATGGACCACTCCATGTACTGAAAAAAATAAAATAAAAATCAATATTTGATATTTACTTTTATTCATATATAAAAGAAAAAACATACCCAAGAATAGATAAACAAACTTTACCATTACGATAAAGATTTGGATTGAAACGAACTGTGTTATTTCCAGTAGTCATTAAACGACAACGAGGTGCTCGAATGGGACTTCAATTTAAAAGAAATACATATATATATATATATAATGAATGGACTAGAATAAATGTCCTTCGAAGTATTTTGACAATATCGTCCTCAAGGATCATCGCCATGCTTTATTAACCTTCATAATTTAATTTCCTACAAGAATGTATTACAAGTTTTGCTAGAAAATGTTAAACAAAAAGAATTAGATAAATAATACCGTATGACTTCTCAGAATTGTTTTAATCAACGGAAAAAAAAATGAATCAAGATAATTTAACTTCATTTCAATTTCAAGAGAAATGAATGGTTTGTTAGACTGTAATGCTAGAATTTGAATAGGAACCTTTTATTCAGACACATTTAGCAAAACAAATAAAGTTTCTCATGCGTTTTGCTCAACTTTAATAAAATAATGCTTACATAAAAAAAAAGAGTTTGACTAGAATGAACTCCAATGTACATCATGAGAAAAAACGTATTTACGAGGAAAGTCTTTCAATTTTTAAATTGTTTTTCAATCAAGATTATATGTATTATGTAGACCCAAGTGAGCTAAGGATACCCGAAAAAGTTTTGCTTTTAACGTATTTCTGCAAAGATATTGAACTTTTATGGTAGCTTTTAAATGAATGCTGTAGTAACAGAAAACATGATTTTCGAATTTCAACTCAAAACTTTGCAAAGAGACAAACCTTAACAAGAGCCATTGATTGTGAAAACTGTTAGTTTTCTGATTTACTTTTATCCTGAAATAAGAACATCGAATCTGTCAATCTTTATGAACGACATAAAAGACACGCTATTATCATAGTTCTATCTCTGAGAGTAGAAACTACGACAAGGTCTGAAAGATTTACAAAAAAAACTAAGGTTTGTCTCTATACAAATTTTCAACTTGGAATTCCAAAATCAATTTTTCCAGTGTTACTGACTGGAAGCGCGAAATTCGTTTAAAAAAAACCATTAAAGTGCAGTACTTTCTCAGCAATGAGCTAAAGGTACAAATTCTTTTCAAGATATTTTGAGCTCATTTAGGTCTGCATAAAGCACATAGTCTCAAGTCAAAAGCGATTTATTAGCTGAAAGAATTCTCTCATTAGGTATACACCTAAATGTACTCTGCCATGCTGTTATATTTTTACAAAGCTAGAAAATAACTGTGAAAAAAAACAGACTAAAGCATGGTGATGAAAATTGACAGCGCTATTGATTGCGGCTCACCCGTTATTTAATTATTAATCTATTTAATACTTACTAATCAGGTGGACAACGAATTAGAAAATAAAAAAATCCACCTAAACAAAGAAGAACAAATCATAAAAGATAGTTAAAAGTTTTTTTTAGATATTCTACCTTCATATGGTGTATCAAATGGACCGACAACAAGAGCATGAATCTAAAAATATTTTATTAATTTAAATAAATAAATACGAATTTATAATTACACACTTTAGTAATATTATCAGGATCCGGGGCAATAAACATACCCGGTGGAGGATCTTTAAATACGCTCCATATATCACTAATTAATAAAAACAAAACTTTTTTTTTAATTTAGATTTTCAACACAAAAAAATTCATTTACCGTTTTATTCGTGCTAAGCAAGTTGCACTTGGTTGTTGCATATCCCAATCAGCACAATGGAATGGATCCCAAGGATTTCTCATTATACTTGAAACATCTTCAACATGAGCAGCAGATGCTGAATTATTCAAATCATCATGATCGAATCCATTTAGTAATTGGGATATTGTACTAGCTGTAGCAGCAATATTATTGCTATTACTCATCATAAATTTTTATTCTTCGCGTTGAATTATAAATTATCAATTAATTAAACCAATTTGTTAATGTCGTACTACTATTATTATTACCGGTAATCAATATTTCAAGAAAAACAAGCAATCAAGTATGTGCTACATAGATCTTTGTAACAAAAAGCTAAAGGAAATAAAAAAAAATTCTATTTCGATCAAATAATGACTTACTTTTAATGTAAAATTTAGAATAATATAAATTCACCTGTGGTGTCAAAAACAAAAGAAAGCAGATAGACAAAGAAAAAAAGAATCGAATCTTTGATAAATTAATCTAAAATATTGAAATATTATTTGTTTAATTCGTCTAAACTTATTATTATTTTTTCTTAAACACACAAATAATACAACAAATAAAGATCAACGGTGTCAAAAAACAAAGAAAAAAAAAACATCCTCAAAAATGAACTTCGACTTCCAATGAATAGATTCTTTTTAGCAAAAAAAAAAGCAAAAGCAAAAACAAATATTCTTTTTTTTCTCTTTTTGACATAAATAAATTTGACATTTATTGTTTAAATCGTACTTGAATTGTTCGACCTTGAAATGTTGTACCATCAAGGCGATCAACAGCATGACATGCTTCATCATAATTACGCATTGTTATAAATGAATATCCTTTTGATTCACCTGTTGTATAATTTCTTACAATATATACACGATAAACTTCGCCATAACGTCGAAATAATTCGTCTAAGTCATTTTCATCACAATCATGTGGTAAACCGAATGCATATATTACAAAACCATTGGGATCAATAGCTTGTTGACAACCTTTAGCTATAAGATCATAAGCAGCAGCAAGTGTTGATGACGTATTAAGATTACTTGCTTTAAATAGAAAACAAAAGTTAAATTTCTATTTGACGAATATGATTATGATTTCTTCATACTTGCTGTTAGAATATTTGAATTGTGTTTTGATGATGACGAGGAATATGAACGTGGTAAATTTGGCGATGAACCACGCATTCGAGAAGAACGATTAGATCCACTACTATAATATGACTGTAGAGGTGGTGGTGATGGACTTAAATCTCTCCTAAATAGAAAAAAAAAAGCTATTATTTATTTCCGAGGACAATTTCAATTTTTAATTAAAACAAACAATACAAAGAGTTTAAGAAAAGCTGTTAGTGCAATCTCTGGAGGATTAAAATGTAAAACAAGATGTAGTTGCTGTTGCTTACCACGGAGAGACTGTTTTATTCTATCAATTTTGGAACACATTTCTTCAACGTCCTTCTTCAGAAATGCAATAAGAAAGTAGTTCATATATTATACCGAGATGTTATTAGTTTCGTGAAAAACTCATATCTAAGCTTTAGGGCGTTTATGCTAACTGTGTTGATAGAGCTTGGATAGACGAAAAAGATGGCAATGTTTGAGCGAATCTTGGTCACGGCTACGGACAGCGCTCTCATTTTACTAAGCTTAATCATTTGAAAATTCATTGCTGAATCATTCTCATATTCTCTTAAAAAATTTACGAGCTCCAATTTAAATCCTTTGTTTTTATGAATCAATAGAGGACACTGAGCCAACTCCAAATATGCGTTGCTTATGCCTACTGATCGGTTGAATCTTACGCAGAAAACTTAATTGTTTTAATGACAGGCGTATATTCATGCTAAGTTTGGTTTGACAGATTTTTCACTCTCCTTGGCATTCGTAACAAAAAATTTTATGCCCGCATGAATTGATGAAAAGTTTACTTTAGCTTTTTTCACTTAATTTTAGCCTGAGTGTACATTGTGGGAGGGAAGGAATCCAAATTTTCACTTTCAATAGTCCATGGTGTTTCCATAAAAACGAAAAACTTTTACAAACATGTTCATTGCTGCTCGATGATGATGATGAAGAGCTGCTGCATAATATGGATCTATCATACTCAATGGTGGTAATCCTGGTGCATATCCGTATGATCCAATAGTTGGTGTCATTGATGATGAACTTGATAAACGAGATGATGAACTAAGGTTACCATTGTTCCCTGATGATGTCCCTGCAACTGCTACTGTTTTTTTTAGATCAGCATATTTAACAGATATTGGCGTATGTGAACCTGATGGTACATAACCATCAAGTGCTTTAACAGCTCGTTCAGCATAACGTGTTGATGTCATAAGAACAAAAGCAACACCACGTGATATTCTTGTACGTGGATCACGTAAAACTTTCGTTTGGACAATTTCACCATATTTTGAAAAAAGACGTTCTAACATTTTTTCATCAAAATTATCTGGTAATTCAGTTATATATATATTAGGATTTTTTTGTGTTGATGATGGTGATGATAAATTTATATGTTGATCATTATCTAAATCATAATTATTATTTGACTTTGGTTGAGCATATGAAACTTTTAACTTTTTATGTTCAATTTTATATCCATTAAATTTTTCAATAGCTTTTATGGCATCTTCTTTTGCATGATATTCAATAAAACCATAACAATATGATTGACCTGTATAACGATCAGTTATTAATTTACATAATTTAATTGGTGCAATACGAGCAAATAATTGATAAAAATCAGATTCACGTAATGATGCTGGTAAATAATTGACTATTAATTGTGTACCTTTGTTGTTTTTAGGTATAGCAAATAATGATGATTCAGGACTTTGACTATTTTTTTCATTGTTTGATGATGAACGATGTTTTTTACGATGATGACGACTATGACGTTCATTCGGCGTACTATCACCTGAAAGAAAATAACAATAAATACATATATATTATACGAAATCTTTTTAGTAAGATATGAGCAACGAGAAACTTGAGCGAAATTCTTTTTTTTTTGGGTGTAGTTGGATAGCAGAGATGGAATTGATTTGGTTCGATTCGAAGCCAAACCAATTCCATCTCTGTTGAATAAAACTCGTCGAGTTACCTGAACTGTTGTTTTTTGACATACTCAAACGATGTTGTTGTAGTGAAAATTAGGTTTAAAAAAACATAACGAAAGCCTATAAAAATTGAACTGCATCAAAAGCGTCAAGTCTTATGAGGGGAATGTTTCAGCTAATACATTATCTTTGATCCTGAACTCAATGCATAAAGTAGATCCCAGTGGGATATAAAATTATTCAAAACGATAAGTGTCCTTAAATCTTCCTTCCAAAGTTATAAATATTTTACTGGAACTTTTTAGACTATAGCATGGTATGTATCAACAAATTGAATGGCGGCATTGCGACCGGAAATTTCACCCACGGACATATTTACTCGTGGCTAGAATGTCCCGAAAATTTAAGCTAAAAAAAATATTTCCTTCGTAAGATATTGAATTTTCAAAAATCACTCGTATCCTGCGAAAGTTGTGAGAATCTCCGATTTTTAGAAATTCAGTATCTCGTGAAGAAATCATTCTTTCAAGCTGATATTTTCAGAACAGCCCAGTCACAAATAGATCTGCATGTAGGCAAAGTTTCAGGTCAAAATACTATTATCTAATTTGTTTGCGAGATGTTTTATGTCTTGTTGAGATATACTTTATTCATAGAGTCCAAAATTAAAAACGATCTATTCGTTGAAACAATTCCTTCGTTAGTATCTATCTGAACTTTTGTTTTCTTTTGATTTTCCTCTCCGAATAGTGAGGAAAATTAACGATGCGTGTTTTTTTGAAGAATATTGTTTGATGGTTAAGAAAATCGATTTTCTTGATATCATAATTCAACATCATAAAATATTATACCCAAACATGATTTTCATCAAATGTTAGTTCTTACGGGAAGCGTAGGTCCGAATATTCGAAAACGATAGTGAAAGGATGTAAAGACGGAAATTATCTTTCAGTATACCGTTTTTGCGCTGATTCTGAATAAAATATTTCTTTCTTTTGGCATTGATTGTTAAAATCTTAGAAAACAAAACCATATCTAGGACGTTTTACTATCGTATCGAAGAAATCTGTTATCTCAATAATCAAACTGTATTTTTCAAAAAGCAAAGTTCGGATAAATATTGAGACCTGACGCTTTCGATGTAATTCAAATTTTCTGGACTTTTCGGATTGCTTTTAACTTAATTTTCACTACAAAAAACAGTTTCAATACATTAAAAACAAGATTTCTTATAGGTAACTGAACCAGTTCCATGGAATTACATCAACAAAAATTTCCGCTTAAATTTCGAATTTCCATCACCTTATTAATAATAATAAATAAGTAAACTTTACCTTCAACAATTCCTTCTTCATTATTTGACTCGTTATCTGATGACGACATTTCTTGGTCTGATTTTGATTGTTGACTTTCACTTGAATTCTTTTCTGGTGAACTAATAAGATTTTCATCATTTGATTTATTCCGATGTGTTGTTGATACTGTTTCTTTTTTACTTGAAAAAAAAAGCAAATTTATACAAATACAAGATGATGAGAAAAAATTTAACAACAATGAATTTTGTATTTATTTTTTCTATTATATTGAGCAATTAGCTGAAATCTACGTAGTGATTTTAGTAGCCAACCCAGTCTTCTATCTAATGCATTCTACAGGGTGATCCAAATGTCAACGGGCATTTTTTGATTTGCAAATAACTTTTAATAGAAACAAGAACGAAAGCTGCAATCTTTATCGTTGAAAAGACGCGATTTAGAGGGAAGCATCGAATCATATAAGATACATAATATTTAAAAGCATTTTTAGAAGGATTTTGAATAACCAAGATTTTCAGAAAACTAATGTTTTCAAAATTTCAATGGTTCGATGTCCGCAAGTCTCCTCTTTTCAACAGTGGAAGCTGCAGTTCTCTTTCTTTTTCTGATCAAAGGTTTTTCACAATCATAAACTGTCCCATGACTTTTGAATCATCCTGTAAAAGAAAGATTTTCTAGGGGACCTATGATGGCAAAGTTTCTAAAAAACCAGATACAATAGTTTTTAGATTCCAGAAGCCTATTTTTTTTAACATCCCCATTTTAAAACAAAAACAAACAAGGGATGGTCAGATTTTCTACAAGTTTTCCTCAAAAAGTTAATAGTATCACAAAAACTGTTAAAAAAGAAATTTATACAAAATCGACTAAAGAATACCTTTTTCGGTTTTTGTGATAGATTTAAACTTTTAAGGGAAGGTCGTAGAAAATGCGTTGACTCCTCATATCGTTCTCTTTCAAAATGACATTGTAAAAAAATAATCTTTTGGAACCTAAAACTACTGTAATTGGCCTTTTAGAAGCTTTGCCATCATGCTTCATCTATGAAATCTTGCTATAAAATGCATGAAATGAAAAACGCCATTAACAATTAAAATCATGATCAAGATTTGAGCTAATGGCTTAACGTTATAGAAAAGCAAGTCCAAAATACATTCTTTTTAAACTTTTCCCTACCATTTTATAATTGAATAGAAAATGTTAACTTAATAATTACCTTCTTTTAACTGAATGTCGATGTTGATATGTTGCTGAACGTTTATTTGATTTCGAATGTTTACGATGATGGTGATGATGTCGATGACGTGATCGTTTTTTTTGATGACTTTGATCATTATCTGACATTATTGGTGATGATATCTCATCAACTATTGCTTTAGAATCATCATCTAATGGCAAAAGTTCACGATCATTCGGATCTTGTTCATCATTACTATCGTTTCTTTCTATTAAAGATTTAACTGGTGTTGATGGTCCTCGTCTTGGTGATGTTGAAACACTACGTTTTTCATTATTTGATATTGGTGAACGAGAACGTGACAATGATGACGAAGATGAATGTACACGTGATGTTCTTGTTTCCATCAGCCGCTATCAAATTGATATTGATGGAAAAACAGAGTGGACTCTAAAAAATAATATAAAACAAAAAAATTTTACTTATACAAAAACAAAAAGCCATTTGTTTATTAATCGTCAGTTGATCAATAATAATAAAAATCAAATTTGTCTTTTATCAAGCAGCAACACACACACGCACACAGTGGGTTTTTTTTTCTGACGTGTTTAATTATCTACTTTACCTCGTATATGGAAATATTTGATTCTCATCATTAGAATAAGAAATATATAGATATAGATATATGGATATATATAGACAAATCAATATAAGAACAACAACAGAAGACTTCTTATTATATAAATAACAAAAGGAATAAATATTCTTTCAAACAACAACATATATATAAACCATTTGAATAAATTATATTCCTAGTTTTTCTTTTTCGTATCTAATTGATTATTATAATAACATTGTAAAAAACAAAAACGAAACAAAATATATAAACGTAACGAAAAAAACTATCGTCGTTGAGATTATAAATTAAACAAAAATAAACACACAAATCGACCAAATACGATCTTCAATAAAAGTAAATATTTACATTTTATCTATATTAATTTTTATACTATATACTTACATAATTTTATAACATCGAACCACAAATCAATATATATATATAATAATCTAAAAACACAAAAGGGAACAAAGCATTTAATCATCTTATACTTTGTTTATTTGAATAATAGTGAAAAAAAAACGAAGACGATGAATGGATCATCAATAAACAACAACAGCAAAAAAAAAATTTTCCTTGTGAAAGAAAAAAATAAGAGAGAGAGAGAGAGAGAGAGAGAGAGAAATAATAGAGGTTATAACGATAACAAACAAACAAAAAAAAACAAATGAAAGAAAAAAAAATTCAACATCCACGTTTATACGAAAGGCGTAAAGATCCAACAAACCACCCGAAAACCCATGTGAATAAAGAAATGAAAAATAAAGAAAACCAAACTTGTAGAATTAGAGGGTAAATGTCCTCTCTCTCTCTCTATTTATATGTTGATTCTTTTTTTCTGATTGTCTCTCAATAAATCAACAATAAGTAAATGAAAAAAAAAAGGAAAATCTAGAGTGTTAGATATTTAATCATCCATACTTGGACTTTGAGCATCATCATTTTCATCATCGTCAAGCATACCAAATTTATTAGACAATTGAAGCTATATCATATAATCATATTCTATTAATTATAAGAATATTTATTTACACTTACTTTATGTGAATCATCGCCAGTTTGTACTGTCCGCCGTGTTGTTCCTCTAGAAAATAAAAAAAACACTATGAAAAAAATGTTTTCTATTTCTTTGATAAAATTTTACCGTTGTTGATTTCGAGATTGTGATTCAGTATTCAAATTATTGTTATTTGATGGACGTCCAGGATTAGTATATTCATTTGTATCCTGACTACGGTCATCCTGATTGCGGTCATCACGATCACGATGTCGATAAGTACCACGGTCATTATCTAAATATAAATTATACTGAAAAAACAGAAAAGAAAATCAATTTTATTCGATACCTCGTTCTGATTGATTGGGATAGTTATATTTGCCTCTACGGCCAGATTCCTGATCACGTCGAGATGGACCACCATAACGATCTCGATCTCGATCATGACCACCACCACTACCACCACTACCACCACCACCACCACCATTACCACCACCACCACCACGACGATAATGATCATCATTGCGTCTTCTACCCTCATCTTCATACTGTCGACCACCTACAATTAAACAACAAAAATATAATACAATTAATCTTTTGAAATATATACCACTAAATTCTCGTTTATGATGATAATCTGCACCACCACCAGATCGACCTGAATAAAATATAAAAAAAAATACATTTTTGAATTTATTCAAGAAAAAGAAATTTCTATGACCATCATCATTTTGTGATGAGCGTTTACTACGATAAACATCTCGTTCTCCACCACGATTATATGATGACCTTAATACAATAAAGAAAAATTCAGTAACAATCACTTGAAAAATGATAAATATAAATTACCTAGATGCTGTTCCTTTATCTTCATTATCAACCGATGTTTCATTTGTAGTCATTTGAAGTTCTTTCATTTTTTTTTCAATCTCAAGTTCTCTAGCAGTTGTATCCACCGGTTTAGCTCCACCAAATATAGAAGCACCAGCACCACGGGTTGGTTTTACTGTTGATTGTTCATCGAGTGTATTAACTCGAGATGTATTTTCGTTTGAATCTTGTGATTCTTGTTGTTGACTTTCATCTGTATTTTCATTTATTGATGAATCTTGTGTTTGTTGAATAGATTTATTTGTTATTGCAGATGATGATTCATCTGGATTTGATATTGATGATTCAGCAATATTATTAATTGATGATGATGAACCAGATAATGGTTGATTTTCTTCAAGTGGTTTTGTACGTGGTTGAAGTTGAAGTCGTTGACGTTCACGTGGTGGTTCTTGTTGATCATCATGAGTATCATCTAATTTTATTCAGAAAAAAAAAAAAGAATTAGTAAAAACAACAAAAAGAAAAGTACCATTTGAACGATTTCGATCACGTGTATCACTAAAATAAAATTTTAAATAAAAAAAGTCAAAAGTTTTTGTTTTTTATAAAATAGTATTTTACCGTGTATCACTATATCGACCTGCATAACGAGGTCTATCGGCTCCACTATTTGATCGATTAGTATCATCTTGATAACGATTACGTTGTCCTTGTCGATTATAATCACGATTACCAGCTCCACCTCCAGCTCCAGCTCCACCTCCACCTCCACGGTCGTCTCTCGTACGTGGATAACCGAATCCAAAATCGTTACCATGTTGATTATCTCGTGAACCACCACCCATATTCGCTTTAGAAAAAAAAAAATTAATTTTCTTTTTCTTCGAAATAATATACAAAATAACTTACGTCGTCCATGATCTCCACGGTTTTGTCTATCACGATTGAATCCACTACTTTGACGATCATCAGATGTTTCATCAGATCGTGCTAAAAGAATTTTTCAGTGTTTATCTTTTACAAAAAAACCTGTTATAGCAATGCTTGAGGTATTAAAATATTGGTAGATTTCTTCACTATCTTTCTCGAGAAATGCACTGTGGAAGTAGCTCATGTATTTATAACAAGACGGTATTCATATATGGTCTTTGAATGTTTATCAATGTCTGTGACATTGCTAACGAGGAAATCGCTTCTGCTGTCCCTTTTCGATTTCCATCATTCTTTTTCTATAGATACTACATAATACCCTGATAGAAACCCTTAAAGAATTTTGTTTCCAATTGATATTTGACTACAATATCGGATGTTTGACATGTCTATTTTCTAAACCTCCCAGATTTTTCGGAAAACTCGTATTTTCAAATTTTGATCAGAAACTTTGCACATATAGAGAACTCAACTAGGCTAACTTTTTCAAAAAATATTCAGAAGTTGTGAACAAAGCCTCTTCAAGAAATGACATTTTCACTGTATGGATCTTTTTCTGTGTACATTGAATATAATATGGTTTTTTTGAAAGTTTCATTTCTCGAAGAAACTTGGTTCAAAACTTGTGAACCTTTTTGTAGACGTTAGTCTAGGTGAGCTTTCTATATGTACAACGTTTTAGATCAAAATCAAAAAATACGATTGTTTTAAAACCTGGAGCTTCTAGAAAATAGACATATTAAATATCCGATATCTTAGTCAAATTTCAATGAGAACCGAACAACCTTTCAAGATTTTGATTAAAATACTATTTAGTGTCTATAGATAACAATCACTGAAATCGGAGGGGGCAGCTGAACAGTTTCCCGAGTAAAGCGTTTGTGGAGGGTTTAAATTTTTACCTCTATATTATAAAACTCGGTTTAGATCCTATTTTACAAAAAAATTGAATACTTACGTTCAGCTCTTTTCCATCTGTCAGCCATTTCTGGTCGTTCTTCACCACCACCACTACGATTCGATCGATTACTACCAAATGTTCCTCGTCCACTATCTGTGTGTGAATCAGTTTTATCCGAAACATTAACACGTATTTTACGTCCATAGACTTCTTTATCGGATCTTTTCAATGCTTCAATTAAATTTTCACGTGTTTCCAATTCAACTAAGCCAAGACCTCGACTGCGCATACCATCACGCAGTATTCGTGCTGATTTTGGCTAAATAAAATAAAAAAACAAATATAGAAGAATAAAATTGAGAATTTTCATACATTTAAATCAGCAAATATTCTTCTTAGACCTTCATCATCAACTTCAAATGATAGATTAGCAACATGTGCAACAAATGGGGGATTGTTTGGTACAGTAGTATAATCAAAATCATGAGCACTACGAGGAGCTGTTGGTAAAACACCAATATCAACAACTAGAAAAGAAAAATAATTGATTTTTTTTCTATTTTAAATTTAATTTCTTAATTTTGTTACCAATAGGTTTGACTTCTGCCTCTTCACTATCAACTATTTCTGACCAATTTGATCCTCGAACAGTAACTAACTTTGGTTCAGCAGCCAGAAAATCAGTCAATGGCATAGTTTTGCCTTTTTTTTGTTTTTTCGATGTCATTATTTAGCTTTCAACTTTTGTATTTGATTTTTGTATTTAATTATATAGATAAATTTAATATTTTGTTTTTTTTAATAATTGTTTTTAGCCATTCAATATTAAACAATAGAATGACAAGATATTGAAAAAGTCGTTTGATTATAAATGAATAATTCAAATGATTGAAACAATAATAACATGAACAAAAGAAGAAAAAAAACAGAAAATATGATCTACAAAAAATGAATGTTAAAAAATATGATTATTCTTCATTACTCTTTTTTTTTCGTTTTTGAGTACAATATAGTACAAAATAAAAAGAGGACAGTCAACAATAAAAAAAAACCTTCTTCATTCTGTATATTTATTTATCAATGTTTAGTACTACGACGCATGAGATACATGAATTTACTTTTTTTTTATAAATAAAAAAAAGTACTTTTCGTTTTTAATAATTTTATTTTTTTAGAAAGGAAAATAATTTTTTTTCATTTTTATTTTATATATAGATTATTTATTTCTTAATTTTAAAGCATTAATGCATTTAATTAGAAATGCACTATGTATGCATAGAGGTTAAGTCAAAGAAATGATCAAATGAATGGTATCTTTTAAGAACACGAAACCATACCTGTATTAAATGTCCTTCTGTCATTGAGACAAGCATTTCTCTTTTCCTTTTTTTATATTCCTTTTGTCAATGAGTAACACAACGTGTTCAAGTCAAAATCTTAATGTTAAACATGTTGCAACTCTGTTCGAAGAAGTTCAAAATCGTTATATTAAAAAATTAACAACTATTGATGAAAAACATTTACCGACTGATGAACGTCATAAGGTATATTCATTTAATTGTCATTTAATATTTATTCATTTCTTTTTTTTCTTTGATCAATCAATCGTAAGAGAAAGAAAAATATGTATGGAAAATCTTTTCAGAAGTTGAAATATTTCGAATAGATCTTTGTTTAATAAATGATCTTTGACGCATAGAACAAACCCGATTTTGTTACAACACTTGAAGAACACGAATAATGTCTAAGGTTTCCTCTTCAAATAACTGATGACACGAACTTGTTTAAAAATTGATTTTTGCAATGTGGTTTATAGACGACGTGAAAGTGAGATGGGGGAAAGTGTACACCCCCGTTCCCAGTAATTGAAATTTTTTTTATTACTCCTGTAGAACATTTTTTTATATACGCCTTCATTCCAGTCTAGCAACAGTCGCACAGCCTCTGGCTGTCTATTTCGAATACCCACTTATAATTGAATAAATTTTGAAGTTTCTAAAAAAAATCTTTGGTTTTCTGTTTATTATAGTTTTAATGAAGAATCATAGTGGATTTTCTTTTAAATGTAATTCTATCAAATTAGATATAAAATTTTAGGTTTTCTGGGAAAGATTTATTAGAAAAATCTTGTAAAAGTGAATTAACTGAAATAATAAAGTTTTATCACAGAAATATCATTCATCTTTGTATATCTGATACAATAAAAAAGATTTATGTTCATAATAAAATGGAATAAATAATATTTTATATTTTAGCAAAAGTTAGCTGTTTATGAAAGTTATGTAAAAGATTTATCAATTCAAACACGTTTACTCTTACAAAGTCTTGATGAACTTGAGAAAGAAGCTAATCAACGTGTCACTTTACTTGAAAATAAACTTAAAAAAGCACATGCATCGTTACAAGTATGTTTAATTGTTTCTATTTCCTTTGTTTCTTATAATTTTCTTGCAATCTCTAGCAACATCATTCATTATCAGATGTAACAAAAAGTGTTAGCGTAAGTTTTTTAAAAAGTCAGAAAAATCGATACTGGTCAAAAATAGATGTACGATATATTTTGTTATTGTTTTCTACGATACTGACGAGAAAACGTTTCTAAGTGTCATATGGCTATTTAGTTGGGACAGTGTGCATCATGTAGATCTTAATCAGCTTTGAATACTCAAAAAAGAGTTCGCGCTAGTAACTTATTACTACCGGGATAATGTGTTTGTTTTTTGACATAATGCTGTGGTCTCTCTCAGAAACACTAGAAAACTTGAGTTTCAAATTTCGATTTGAAACCTTGCATAGAGACATATCTTAATGAAAATAGTTTCTTGCAAAATTTTCAGATCTTTTGGCTACTTCTACACTAAGATACGGCTATAGAAAAAGCATGCTGTTCATGCCGTTCGTATACAACGATCAACTCCAATCTCCTTATTTCAGAATAGCCGCAATAAAAAAAAAGTCTGAAACTTTCACACTACGCTATTCTTTTTAAGGCCTATCTCTATGTAAAATGTGAAGTTAAAATTTGAAACTCAGCTTTCATAGTGTTCTTGAGGGAAATTACAGTATTGTGCTGAGAAATACGGTACAAATATAGTATCTCGATAGCAATTAGCTATTACTCTGAATTATTTTCCGAGTATTCATTGCTCATTAGAACTTACATGATGCACATAGTTCCGAACTAAAAGCAATCTGACACGTAGAAACGCTCCCTCATTAGCTTATAATCGTAAGACAGATTTTCATTGGAATAGGCAATGAAGTTCACTATCAAGTTCATTCTACATTGAAATTTCATAGATGGAATATAACAAGAAATTTTTCGTAAGAAGCACCAAAGTCCTAAACAAAATGAAGGATCACCGCATTTTCTACGATCTTCTTTTCAAAAGTTATAAGCAATACACAATACATAAACATGCATGTTTTAGATAAATTGCGTGCTTGTTCATTTTGTATGATGGTTTTATTTTTATAAGGAAAAATCGTAGAAAATGCGCAAATGCTCATTTTCATACAGTGTTTTAGTACTTGAAAACTACTGTGTTTAGTTTTTCAGAAACCTTTTGCTCGCCGTCCATCAATGAAATTTTGTTATATATTGAATTTGATAGAGAACTTCATTGGCTATTCAAATCACTGTTTGAATTTGAGTTAAATGCTCGGTATAGTAGAAAAAAGAAAATTAAAAATAAATGGTAGTTTTATGTTTGATCAGTATTGTATATAAATTATTATCTTTTTTTTATTCTCTTAAAGAGTATTGAATCGGAAAAGTGGAAATTAAATCATGAAAATCTTGATTTAAAACATGATCTTGATTCATTAACAACATTTATAAATACAGCTAAACGAACAGGTAAATGGGATACAAAAAGACTTCAATTAAAAACTGTTCCACTTGATCGTATAATTGGTATATCAAATGATGATATACATCCTACAGTACCTTTACATAAAGAAATTCAATATCGTGATGAACGTATACAAGTTTTACAAGCTGAAATTGAACAACTTCGAAAAACAAAAAATGAATTAGTTAAACAAGTAGAAAACTATTATTATTTAATTTATTCATATGAATAAGCTTTATCTATTTTTGTTAAGACATCAAATAGACAGTCATCTTTTTCTTCATTTATGGGAGAGGATGATTCAAAAGAACAAGTTTGTATAAATGTTATTTATTTATAAAATCTTCAAATTTATTTCTTAGAATATTATTCTTTCGAAAAAAGTTGAAGATCTTCGTGCTAAACTTGTTGAAGACTGTCAAAAAACTGAAACACTTAAAATGGATGTAAGAAATATTTTGACACCTATAATAAATATTTATTTGAATTCTTTTATGAAATACAATCTAAACCTAGTGTTGAAGTATAGAAGAGACTACTAAGATTCAGTCCTTTTTTTGGGATATATATGTTTTACATAAACCATTGGATTTAAATGGACTTATCTGTTGATAGTATTAAAATATTTTAACTGTATCAAAAGAGAACCATAGTTCTTCTTTCGTTTGATGATAATATATTTAATGAAATTTATAGAAAAGCTCCAATTATTTCTGACAAAAAAATCTCGAAAGCTGTTGCGAGAAACAGAGAACATAGCTGACGACTAGCACAACCACCTACTCTTTTCCCGCCTCACAGTCTGTGACAGATACTTTATCAATACCTCTTCATCATCACAACTCGTGATAGACATAACCGCGAGATCAAAATCAACTGCGAGACTACTATGATAGTTGTTCTTTACTTTTCTATTACACTCGCAACAAAATCTTTCATCATCAACATATATTACGAGTACATAGGAATGCATAAATTAAAACATATATTGATGATTTCCTTTATTTACAAATACCAGCAGCTTCATAGTCTTTCACATTTTAATGTCATACAGATGGTGCGAACGGCTTTACTTTTTTTTTCTCTATTAGATACGTCACAAAACTAATGAATTAAAAGAACTTCAAGAAGAATTTCAACAAAATAAACAACGTTATGATGAACATATACATGATTTATCAACAAAATTAAAAACAATAACAGATCGTCATCGAGAATCAACAACATCTCTTAATAATGATATTAAAATAAAAAAACAACAAATTGAACAATATACACAACAAATTGAACAAATTTTAAATGAAAAAGTTCAACTTGAAAATGAACGTAATGATTTACAACGACAAGTTCGTTTAGTTATTTTTAATGAATAAATCTTCGTTTATCATTTAGTTTCTTTTTTCTATTAGTATCGTGTTAAAGATTCGATAACAGCTGATCTAGAAGTACAAATTCGTAATCTTCAACGAGAATTAACATCAAATAATTATCCAATTATACCTATACAACCTGTTGAATCAACTGTACCAAAAATTGAATATGAAAAACTTGATCAAGAATTACATTTAACTAAAAAGCGACTTGATGGAATTACAGCTGAAGTGAATAATCAATATGAAAGAATAGATTTGTTTGATTTTATTTTTTTTTTAGCTCAAAACAAAAGATGCATTAATTAATAAACTTGAACAAGATCTTCGAGCATTAAAAAAATCTCATGATGAACAATTAGACCAACATATTGAAACATCAACAAATGATGCTGAACAGTTACATACAGAAATTCGAGCATTAAAACGTCTATGTGAAGAAAAAAAAGATCAAGTATGACTTTTGTTTACATAGAAAAAATTATAATAATAACGTTAAGGGCATCGGCCTCTTTTTTGACCGTTTTTGATTCTTGAAGACAATATAATCGATTAAACTGAAATTTTATCATTGAAGTCAAGACTCGAGTTTTGGTGCCGATCTCTCTCATACGAAAAAAAAAAAAACAAGAAAGTGAGATATTTTGAAAAGCTTACAATTACCTCTGAGACATAGTCTTAGATATCGTCAAAAAGTCTTTCAGTTATGAGAAGTAGGGTTTCCTAGAAAAAATCGACTTCAAAATTCTTTTTTTGCACGCACATGTCTCCTTAACTTTAGCGCTGTATCTCTATGGTAAAAGTTCCAGCTTGATCGGTTGTACTGACTTCAAGAACCAGAAACGGTCACAAAAAACGAGATACTTTTACTTTGCATGCTGCATAAGAAGAATTTATTCTTGATTAGAAACTTGCGTGAAGATGAGACGTACGCAAAACTGAAAAACAAATCAAAATGATATGGGTTTAGGACAGTTGGTCGCAGGACATTTGGTCGCCGGACAGTTGCGCGCGGGCAGTTGGTCGCCGGACAGTTGGTCGCATGGACAGTTGGTCGCACGGACAGTTGGTCGCATAGCATAAATAAGAGGAATATGAAGTGCAATAACAACCCAGGACGAACAATCCGACAGTCGGATCCTGTCGGATCTTATCGGGAAAATTATCGGATTTTATCGGATCCGATGGGAATTCGTTGGAATCCTGGTATCNTCATTCAAACCGCTACTCGCAGATATACAAAGTGCCAAACACTCAGATGTTAAAATTCAACTATTTCGAGATAATACGTATTCCAGACGGACGTCTACTACGATTTTTTATCGATTTTTTGCTTTTTTCATAAAACGGCATTTTCCCGACGGTCAGAGAATTGAATGAAGAAACTTCAAAAATAATATTAGGGAAATCAGTAATACATGGTTCGATGCGTCGTCATTTCCTCTTTCCAACAGTGAAAACCGCAGTTCTCTATCCTGTTTCTATCAAACTTTATTCAAAAAATACTCACGAGCATTCATGCTACCAGCACATAGGCGAAGAAAACAGATCTTATCGAAATTTTATTATTATGATACCAGTTGAATAGTGATCAAATAGCACAGAAAAATAGAGCGAAAGACGCTCTATCTGTTCATAAAAAAAGAAATTTCTTTAAAGCTTTCTGTAAGAAAATAAAGTACCTCAGCCACTACTTTTGGACTGCCCTAAGTATTTTCTCATCTCCTCTATTTTATATTTATGATTAATAAAACAAATTTGATTAATATATAATAATAAATTTAATATTTAATAAATTTGAAATATTAAAGTATAAAATAATAAATTTGAATATCTGATAAACATCATAAAAAGTAGATAGATAATACTAACAGATTTAACATAGATAAGCCATATCAAATAGATAACTTTTTATCTAATCAAAAACGTCTTTTAAGATATCATCATATTATGGATAGTTTCGAGATAACTTCTTGGGCTTTCATCGTACATCCGAAATAGAAATCAGAAATCTAAAATGTTCCGGTAAAAGTGTATCTATCCGACCACTTTCTGAATGTATATAGCTTACTGAAGAATGAATGGAAACAAATTAAGAAAAATAGCGAACTATTCCAGAAAGAATATTGAACATAGTGTACAAAACAACAATATAAATTTAGTAAAGAATAACTTATTAATGTACATAGAATCATCAAACATTAATCTATTCGAAAAGTCTAATGGGATTATTTCTGATGAATCTATATCATCTACAATATCAAATATTTCTATTACTATAAATAATGCTGATAATGATCTAACAATGACGAGATAAAAAAAAATCATTAAACCAAGCAAAGTGGCGTATTCTCATTCTTGTGATCTTCCATAGCAGCGAACATTTCATTATTTAAATGAGATCAATAAACATTTCCCATCAGTCTCTCTCAACATAAACAAACAAGTTTATAAAAAAGTAAAAATGAAAAGAAAAAGAAAAAGTGAAATTATAGGGAAGTCTTAATGTTGAAGTAAAATGAATAAATATGCCCATGAATGCAATCCATGATTGACTTATGATCTTGATGAATTTACTCTTAGAAAACATTTTGAAGAGAAAAGTGTGCTTATGGATTCTTGTTCATTCGATAAATCATTTAAAATTCTGTTCTTATTTCAACTTAAAAATGAAACCAATGATTATGTTGTTTCATTAATTTGTTTGTTTAAAAATCAACACTTTTAGTGTATCTGTTTAAAATTACATTTTGCTACTGTGTCAACAACGTTGGATTTCTCAGTCAAAAAAAGCTATTAGAATAAAAGAAAAGTAATTGTATGACCTGAATTTACTTCCGATGAATTCATAAGAGTTCTCCTCATTATCTATATGATTAGAAGGATGTACTTAAGTTCGCCTTCTTTTCTTTTGTTGTTAAGCATGCCTCGTAGATTTTCTTTTCCTGTCATGTACATGTGATGAACTTCTCATTTTAGTGTGCATCATCGACAAGACTTTCTTCTATTCTCCATAATCTATCGAGTATTTCATAGTTTGGATTCCCTTTCCTGTTACTACCCTATATATGAGTCGTTGCATTGTTGCAAAGCGACATTTTTATACATAGAAATAAATTACAAGTGGGATTCGGACATGACAAATTAATCATTCCATTAGAAAATATTTTAATCGCGAAATTGAATATAATTTTGCGGAGAAATCTATTGGAATCGACTCTAATATACGTGACTTGTTTTCTGATAACCAGCATTATATGTATGTTACATAAAAAAAAGTTGCCAATAAGAAATATGCATGAATTTATCTTCAAGGAAATATGATCTTAACGAAGCTAATTAGAAAGATAACAGCGGCAATCATTTATTTAATGAAAACGAAAATAAATGAAGAATTTGTCTTTCTTTATCTTGAATATTACTGCTTACAGTATCAAATCATTACTGTTATTCTGTGTCTTGTATGTATATTGATTTAGTAAGCAGAAGTATGTACAGAAGAAATTGGCGAATAAAGCTTTTCTGGCAAATCATCGTGAGATGACAGCTCTTCGCTGATGCAGGATAACGATTGCGAAAGGAAAAAAAGAAATATGTAGATTACAGCATTACTTTTCTATATATATAACAAATAGAACTCGTTAAAACATGATTTATTTTTTTCTAGTGGACTACACTCTAAAAGAAGATTTAGTATTGTAGAAAATCTAACAAGATGTTTTTCGGACATTTTTATGTCGATAAGATTTCTGAGGCCTTCTCTAAAACCTTTAAGAAATTTTCCAAATTACAAACAGATTTTAAAAACTTTGGCAATTTTTTCAACTTCTCATATAATAACATCTTCGAAAACTATCAAGGTTTTCTTTTGACGGAAGTGTTCTACTTTCTTTTTAGAAACTCTTGAAGTTTTCCGGAAATGTTACTATTTGAAAAACTTCCGAAGTTCCAGAAACCTATTTCCAATGTAGCAAAGCATCTTCTAATATTCTTTACAATTTTCATCTGACAGAAAACTTGACATATTAGGCAGCCTTGTCATAAAATGTCGAAACAACAATAGCATATCACATACTGTTCATGGACTGTCATTAAGACAATCAGCGCTTTGTAAAGATCAATCAATCTTAATGTGCAACCTATCTAGTTAAATTCAATAAGTTGAATTTCATAATACAATACTTGGTTAGTATTATTCTTTTAAAATAAATTATACTACTTCAATAAACATCTGTTTATCGTCGAACATTTATATTTTAGAATAACTGATGTAAAAAATAAAACATTAATTTATAAAAGATTGTGTCTATTATGCAAAATGTCAAATATTCTCACTTGACTATAACAAGACCTTCAATCATTCTGTGACACATGATCATCAGTATTTCTAAATTTTAAAATAAATGTAATAAAAATGTTCATCTCAGCAATGAATATATGTTTATTTATATAATATCAATAATGAATAATAAAAAAAGAAGAAAAAAAAACAAAAGAAAACATATATGCGTGTGTACATGGCATTTTCATGCATTCTTAAAAGTAATGAAGAAGACAAAGAACGAAAAATTAATATATACATGAAATATAGTACATATATGAATGATATTTTTGTTTCCAAACCGATCTATTACATCTAATTCGCTAGATTCCCAATACACTATCAATAAATTTCCATAAATACATATACCTTCCATACAGATGAACTCGTTGATGTAAAACAATAAATAACAAAACAAAAACAAAAACAAATAGCTGTTGTAATAACCAAAAAGCAAAAACAAAGAGGAAGGAGAAATATGAGGAATGTTCATATAAATGTAAATATGCTTGGTGAGTTTATGACTCAATATACAGATATATATAAATACATATACAGAAATCTTGTAATTATTTGCAAATAAAAAAAAAAAAGAAAATCTTAGTTGACAAACATAAAAGCAAAAGAAAAAACGTGTTTCTTTTTTTTTGTATATATATGTATATGTATCAATTCAATAAATGTTTTTATATACAAAGTAAAATGTTTGTTTGTTGTTTAGTCTAATGCATAAAAATAAGGCGTTTTCATGCGTAGATAACGACGTAAACACAAATACATTCTTAAAAAGAAAAATAATTGTTTTTTTTTTTAATTTTTAATTAAACTTACATCCCCATGCCAAGAATAAAACTGGCACAATTACTTAAAATCAGATAACGCACACGCTTTTTTTCAATTAATGCCTTTTCAGCTTCTTTAGCTGCTTTTTCTTCTTCATCTTCAAAAAGTAATTGATCACGTACACTTCGATTTATTGGATGAGCAAATTTCCATTCTCTTTAAATAAGAAAAATAATATTTTTTAAGAAATAAAAAAAAACTTAGTATTAAAATTTTTTTGTTTACTTTGGTGGCTCAGCTTCAATACGTGATGACCAATATAACATCCAATCGGCAACATTTCGATCCGTTTGTAC